CCCATAGAAAAATTAAAATTATTCAATGGCATCCTAAAATATTGTCCTAGCAGTAGAAAATTAATAACAAATAACATCAGGTGTATTCATGGATATAGCATGACGCTGCTGAAAGGCAAAAGTGGTATAGAACTCAAAAACCAATTCATAGTAAGTATTGTATCTAATGTTCGAATAATGAATCCAACCAATAGCATCGAAATAACGTATCACAGTTTCACGTAAGTGTAAAGTGTCGAGTGTACGTAATGGAATATACTTACAGACTTGAAATCTACGGTGGCGAATGCTATCGAAATTCCTTACGTTGTTGCCATCAAAATCGAGATATCCTTGCAACAATTCCTCGGGTGGCACTGAATATGTTCGGCCTCTTCGATTCCTTTCATCGCAAAGATCGAAGTTCTCGTCTGGAGGTCCTTCGGTTTCGTCTGAGTCTACTTCATAGGACATAGGTTACGGCTGCCCGGTCGAGTGGCATGGTAGTGAAGGCACGAGTCCATACAAAGATACGGGACTCGGTTGTGGTGATACACCACCCGAAAAATTGAACCCGTTCCTAAAGTCTTTAGAATAGCCAAAAATAGGGTTCCACATTAGTATCGGTTCAATATCAACAGGTTTAGAATTTACCTCGGGTTGTTCAAGTATAGTAAATGGCGGAGACTCCACGTTTGGCATCGAACATGTTTCTGAACCCAATGAAATATAGTAAAACGTTGGTTTAGCGGTGATGATGGGTTGGATGGTCGTACAGTGCTCGATCCGGTAGCGTATCGATTGAAGGAAGAACGGTCGAATGATGGCGGGAGGTCGACGGTCTCGGGTGTATGCATGGCTATCCTTGGCGGTGATCCTTGTGATCTTCGTGCACCTTGTTGAGGAGGTGGTGGCATGGGAAGAGGGTCGAAATCACTTGGAAAATCGACCACAACCAGTGCGGCATGGCGACGGTGTCCTCTAATGTTGAGCGACGGTAGAGCTCCTTGGTTTTCTTGGTTGCATGTTCTTACCATGGTGAAAAAGAGTATTTGGCTTGTGGCGGAGGCGATGAGTATTGAACTGACAGTGGGGCATTGAAAGGTGGTCGCGGTTTTATGTGTAGTGGTCGATCAAATGAAGTAAAGAAGGGAGGTAGAGGGGCGTTGAATGCAAGAAGAAAGAAGAGGTTGGGGTGTTAGGGGACTTATCACGTGGGAATAAAAGAAAGGAGAAAGAATTTTAGTTTTGGTCAAACTAAAAAGGTGGAAAGAGAAAGTGTTGGGATTGGTTTAAAATTGGAAAAGTTGGGATAGTGATATATAAGGTCGACCCCACAATGAATAAATTTGAAACAAAAGTGGATTCAAACTTAGAATTTTCGACTGAGGAGGGAACAACAAAAATTGGGTTTTGCTAACGTGTGCCTCCTGGGGTTGGGTTTTGCTAATGTGCGCCTTCTTCTTCCAGACGTGATTTATTGTTCTTTTCGTCAAATATTCTATCGGAATTCAAATATGTTAAAAAATAAAATTAAAATAATTAAAATAAAATAAAATTAATGAAAATAAAGTTTGCTGAAAATAAATAAAAAAAATGTAATAAAATAAAATAAAAAAAGAATAGATTGGAATGGGTTGCCTCCCATTAAGTGCTTTTGTTTAACGTCGTTAGCTCAACGACTTGATATTTCAAAGTGTGGTTTCCTCTAAATTGATTTCTTCGATTAGACCAACTAGAGCATTTTCATAATACAGTTTCAAAATTTGACCATTAACTTTAAATCGTACTCCTGAGTTATCTTCAATTTCAACAGCACCGCGAGGAAATACTTAAGTAACTATAAACGATCTAAGCCATTTTGATTTGAGTTTTCCTACAAAAAGTTTAAATTTGGAGTTAAATAATAAAACCTTTTGACCGAAAGAAAAAGTTTTAAAAGAACATGTATGAAATGCAACTAAAGCTAAAAATACTACTGCATAATAGTATAATTGAACTAATTCAGAATTTCAATTTTCTTTTTCAACCCTCAAAATGTTGTTGCTAGAATGTTTACAACATTCAGATAATATTAAATTACAGAATACACTTTTAACTTATTAAAATTAGAATCCATAAAGTGTAGTAGTATACAGGTTAGGTGTATATAATCATTACGTAGTTAATTTAGAAAATTTGTTCCTACGCACTTAGTTAATAATTTTCAATGTTATGTCAATCTTTTTAAACTAATGTTAAATAGTTAAATCATTCCAACTTATTCAACTTCCTAAAACTATGTTGGAGCATTCCAACTTATTTCTTAAAAATGTTGGAATTATTACCAACTTTTTCAACTTATTTTTATTTATTTATTTAAAGAAGAATTACTACAACATCTAAGAAATATATGAGATTTAAAGTTTAAAATTTTCTAAAGTTTCTAAGTATGGATGGCATACACCTATAATGTTCAAGGGTTTCTAAGGATTTTAATTATAACAAGTCTATAAAGAATTTTCATGATATCTCATAGTTCAAAATTTTCATATTAAGGCATCATCAAAATTATACTAAAAACTTCATTGGTTTTATAATAATAAACATGTAGCATTACATATGCAATTCCTAAATGTTATTAACAAAATGCTAATAAAATGCAAAACAATGTAAGACAACATGCAATTACTTAAATATTCTAAACACTATTACTTATAAACAACCTAATTGGACACCCCCAAACCTAAGTGTTGCATTGTCCTCAATGCATGAAAACACAAATATGAAAAGTTAAAAAATAACATGAGAGGGGATGAACGATACTCCCCTAAGTGAGGTTCCTTGGGCTCTTTCTTGGGTTGATTACAGTTGGTTGAATCTTTTTAACTATCACCTTGGCCTTCATTGAACTTTTGTGTTTTTTTATGGTTGACGTTGATGTGGCTTTTACCACAGAAACAATAGGGACTGGAATTGTTGATGTTGTAGCAACATCCTTCTCTTTTAGTGATGGTGCAGGTGATTGCACCTTTTGTTGCTTCATTTGTTCCGTAGTGCCACAAACTTTCCCAGCAGCAAAATACTTAAGCAATTTAGCTTCAACTCATATCGCTTTAATAACATTATTGACAATCTGATCAGCATCTAGGTTTTTCTTATCAGCTGCTGTAGTTTCATGAGTAGCTTTATCATCATTTAAATCCAACATTTGTTGTGCACTTGTTTCTCCAAACTCTCATTTGATTCCAAACTTTGTTCCTCTTCGGGGAGGCTTGTTTACTCCTTGTTGACTTCTATTATGTCAAAATCTTTAGAGTCGACAGCAAGTACTTCAATAAATGCTTCCAAGGCAGTCTCTTTTTCCTCATCATCATTCTCTTTATCATTTTTTTTTTCTCAATGTCATCTTCCTGCTCTATTTCAACATCTTTGGCAGTATCCTCTTCGTTTGTCTTTGTGTCATCTTCATCAATGCTAGTGGAAATATCCTCATCGAATGGCATCATTGGTGGGGTTAGATTTTCAAATTTGAGTTGGGAAATCTAAGAACATAACCATTAGCTTCTTGGTTACCATTTTCTAGAATGCTCTATCACGTTCTTATGCATATTCCTAATATTGAATTTGCACAGAGTGCATTTGAGATTGATTGTGCAATGTATGACTCAACATTGATAATATACCCTCCTAATTTACTACTACAGATGCCAGAGTACTTTGCGGCTCTTGTAAAACAGGGATAATTTGTGGTTTAGGGGCTTAATCAATGTGTGTAGCACCATCATCATCTTGTTTCTCTGATTCAAACCCATCACGCTATGCTTGTGTAATAACACTCATATTTTCTAAAACTTTATCAGAGGACAAGGTGGCCACTTGTGCTTGTTTGCACAACGCAATAATTAAGGATGGAAAAAAATAGATAACCATAAGTATTTTGATCACATGTATATAACTCAATAGAAATAATTTTTCCCACATCAATATGGCATCCAAACATAATTTAGTGTAAAAGCAAAATTCTATCCTTAGTGATAAAAGAAAAATGCATTGTGGGCATTAATTGTGTGTGCAAAAAATAAAACCATACCCTTACTTCCAATGTAAGGTCTTACCTTTTCATGTTATAGACTCTGGTGGTAGACTTAATCCATCCACTGCCAGGTAGACATAGATCATCACTAATATGCTCCAAATCATGGGTTTTGAGATTTTAATGAACTCTGAATACTCACACTTGGCTTTCTTTATGCCCAACAATAATTTTATGGGCTTGGCCCACCAATGGATCATTTTTTCTCTGAGAAACACTAAGGGTGCGTTTGGTTCACGGAATGTAAGATTACTAGTGGGAATAAAAGATTATCAGAGAATAGGATTACTGGGAATGTTACATTACTAAGTTTGGTTGGTTTGGCAGGAATGTAAGATTACAATGTTTAGTTGAAGGAATAAAAGATTACTGAAATGTATATTTTACCAAATTGTCATTGTCCTATATTTTTTAACAAGTGAAATTCTAAATATTTAAATAAAAATTATTTATATAAAAATTTTATTTGTTAATAATATATTACTTGAGTATTTAAATATATCATGTATTATTTTAATTTTAATTAATATTAAATTTTACATAATTTATGTAAAAATATATTAAAATTTTACATCAACATTTAACTAAGATATTCATAATAATAAAAAAATTAAATAAAAATGTTTATAATTTAAGATATTTTAATTAATTTTAAATTTTACATAATTTATGTAAAAATATTTACATTATGAAAATTCTTCATAGATATTCATAATAATAAAAAGATGTAAATTATTTTTATTATCTAAGATATAATATTTATTATATATTTTATATACAATAATTTATTTATTTATTTATCTTTTATATTTATACTTAATTCTGCACACTTTATCATTATTATTTATCTCATTAATTTATATTACAGAAACATAATTCAAATAAGTAAGAAAATATAACACTAAAAATCATATTGTCTATAATTTTATATTTTAAGACAAAAATTCTCGAAAATTATGCTCTTTGGCCTTGAAGGGTATGCAGACTCAACTTGTTTGAATTCAACCTGTCCTACGATATTATCCAAAACTTCCCCTTCCATATTGTATAAATCAATCTTCGGGACTCTTTTACTACTTCGGTTATACGTTCTGCAGCCGAACATGCTTCGAACAAGGGCTTCAGCCTTCAAGTTAGATAAACAAGCACCAAGTTATTTGTCAATGAAAATGAAGCGAAAATAACATAAAAATTGAATGAATTCTCTTTGAAAGTGCCTGCAGTAACACATATGTTTAAGAATCCGAGAGTTCCCGAAACGAACAACAGATGTTTTGCAAATTTGCAATGAAAACCTTGTACAACCAAGGCTCACTCTTTCGAGATTTTGAGTGAGATCAATAAAGGTCACCAAATAGTAACATACATGGTTCACATTGCATATGTTAGAATACAAAGTATGGACATACATTAGAAAAACAATGCAGATACTTGTTGCAAAATCCAGTTCTATACGTGGATCAAATGAAACGAACCATCACTAAGTTATCATCGATTTCCCGAAATTTGGTACACACTTCAGAAAATAAAAATGGTGTAACTTCCTACAGTAAGGGACATAATCTTACTTAAAGATTATGTTACCATCCAACTCCCATGAATCAATGCCTTATATAGCCTATAATGGACCAATAAGACTGTTTGAGCAAGTGAATTGGCATACTGAGTAACTGTCAAATTCAAGCAAACCGAAGAAGGAAAGAAACAACATTACCAAGTACCTGGTAACCACAATTTAACAGCATTTAGAACGGCTCAACCCCATTCGAATACCAAAACAATGGACTACCTCTTTCAAAATTTACTCAAGTTCTGATTTAGATTTTGCTAGCTAAAGTTTGGAAAACAACATCAATAGACATCTTGTAGTACTAAATCTAAACTAAAAGTACTTAAAAAGGGATAGAGGAAATAAGAATTGACGAGGTTTACTACTACCGATAAATCACCATTTTAGTTGAAGGCATATAACTAAATTGGAAACGCACGGGACCTCTTCAATGGGGAAAAAAACATATTAAATATGCTGACTAGTTTCTAACCTACAGACTAGTAAAATATTTACCTGCAAACACATGGTGTCACAAACGGCAGTAGATCCACAGTTGCCATCATCTCCTTTCTTCACTAGTCTCGGAATAAGATTTCTCAAGTACATTTCCCACACTTGGTTATTTATGTTTATTGAATCAGCAATGGGATGTAGTACCTGTTTGATTGACAGAAAACGGCTCCAATGTGAAGTTAAAACTTAAAAACTTAATCCCCACAGTAAGAAAAAAATTCGAATGTCCACAAATTTACAAATATTATTAAGAGTGACAGATAAAGATCATGCGCACAGGATTAAATTCTTGGAATAGACTGCCGCACAGGATAATAAAATATCAAAAAAGCAATCCTCTCCATAACAATTCAAGTGCTATATTATCGTGATGATAAGAAAATGGAATCAAACTGAATCATCACTCACAGATAAGAAAAAGCAATCACTCACTGAATCATCACTCAAAAAAGAACAATAAGTGCACTGAGCACCAGAATGAACATTCAACCAGAAAAGGAAATAACAGAGGCATCAAAAACAACAAGATATTCTAATTCAACATTGGAACACCAAAACATAATAAAATATTTTTATTGTACTCAAAATCCTTGGATTGTTCTAACCTGATCTTCCGCAAAAACAACAAGGATTGATGTCATAAAGCTTCCAAAGGTGTTATAACAAAAACTGCATCCTACTTAATTGGAGAGAGGTGTCATAGGGTCATGATTCATGCAATGGAAGTATCAACTCTATTCAGAACCAAAGTCCATTTTCCCAATTACAGTGTTTTACTATTAACTCAAACTACAGAAAAAGCTTCCACCTTTCCTATGTGGTACTAATCGATTTATCGAACCGACTGAAACCATTTACAGGATTTATTCTATTTCATAATCATGATAACCTTAACCATTTACAGGATTTATTCAAACCCCAACATCTATAATCTATTAGTAAAAAAGAGAAAAAAATGTTTGATCCGTATTATAATTGAATGCCTAAAAGATTCAAAGAAAATTTTACATATAGATAAAGAGCTTGAACATAAAACTGAAAAGAATGACAAAATTATTCCATACCCAATGTGTTGCTATTGAATCAGCTGCTCTTGGTCGCCATGGCTTTGCAAATCCCACCAATTCCTTTGCAAGTCAAGAGAGTGAAGTAAACGGTGAAAAAGAACATGTATTGGGAGTGGCTCGAAGGCCAACTGTGAGAATCACACATTTCTAAAAGAGCATATGTTTTGGGCCGAGCTTGTTGAACGGATTTTTTGATGAGTTCGTTGATGAACTGAGATATTACTAGGCCTAGTGCAAAGAACATTACTTGAAGTTCTCTGTGAAAAATGAAATGAGAAACGAAGCCACCGAGGGAAATGAAAATGGGAACCAAAGAAATCCAGACTAGGAAATAAAAATGGGAATCAAAGCAGTAATGGACAACTCCTCGCAACAACTCTCGTCAAATCGTAAAAGAAGAAGATTTTTTTTCGCAAGCGGAGAGAAGGGTATTTCAGAGAACGAGGACGGGAATAAACAAATACCTAAAGTAGATGGGATTAACATTCTCAGTAAAACAGAAAAAAGATACCACTGTTGGCAATCAGTTTTTACCCTCATTTGGAAATATGATCATACAAAAGTGTGTATCTTTAACCCGAAAAAAAAGATTACTCCCAGGAATGAAATATTCCATGAATCAAATAGGGCCTAAGGGTTTTTGCACAGCAGTAAGATTGTTGTAGAATTCCCACACAAGTTGCTGAACAATGTCGCCATGGTGGCACAGAAGGTTTCCCACTTTAGTTTTGTGATGGTGTTAGTGATATAGGCATAGGTATGTGGGTTTTCCATTGAGGAGAGGTCCAAGACTTGCTCATAGAAAAACTCGTGTTTAGAAATTTTTTTCTTCATACTTGTGCTACTGTTCTGCTTCCATAAATCGCATGGGGCCTGAGCTTGAAACAACCAACGGTAGGGCTTATGGTATTCGTGGTGGTGGGATCGACGTTCATCGTGTCACATTCCCCGCAACTTTCTTCTTGAGATCCATGATCATAGACTAGAAAATGAAAAAAATGGAAGAGAAAAATGGATTCGTTTTGGATTTGGGAGGAAAACAATTGAAAAGAAAATAAAAAGGAAAGAGAAAATAAAGTGAGCATTTTAAGTTTGTTGGGGTTATTAATGGTGGCGTGTGAAAAGGGTTAAAAGATAAAACTTTAACTTTTAATTCAAACGGCCAGTTACAAAGAGATAAGGTGGAGGGACGGAATTCAAATGAACAGTTGTGATAGGTGCGAGTGGATGGCTGGTGATGATGGGGTAGATCATAGATAACAACTCACAATTTTCCCTTTACCTTAGAAAATTGCTGCCAATTAGTAATTGTTGCTAGCCAGGCACTCAACATCAGTCAAACAAGATATTAGTGAAAGAAAGTCATTACTGAGGAAAGAAAAAAGAGAAAATCGCCTCAGTATCAAAAATGCCTTATAATATACGATTTTAATCAATTTTTTTTGGATTTGCCAAAATGACCAACAAAATCGCAACGCGAAATAAAAATCGCAACGCGATCCCCAGAATCGTAAATCAGTTTCCAAAATCGCAACGCGATTCTTAAAAATCGCAATGCGATAGTACAAATTCGCATTGCGATTTTCCAAAATCGCAACGCGAATATGAAAATCGCAACGCGAACACATAAATCGCAACGCGTATCCGTAAATCGCAACGTGTATCCGTAAATCGCAACGCGTATCCGTATATCGCAACGCGTATCCGTAAATCGCAACGATAATCCGTAAATCGCAACGAGAATCTGTAAATCGCAACGATAATCCGTAAATCGCAACGAGAATCTGTAAATCACAACACTGAAATTTTGGGTATATAACACTGAAATCATAAACTAAATCCCTAAATCGCAACTCATTCCATCTCCATCTATCACTCTCTCCGGCGACATCCGTTCCTATATCCAACGACATCCTTCCCAATCCGGCAACAGGTTTTAGTTTCGCAGCTCGTCTGTTTAGTAAATTAATTTACAACCATGAAATCATCTAATGTTGATCATGTTTGGATAGATTTGTGTTTTGGAGGGTCATGGGATAATGTTCATGGTGTTTTACAATATATGCCTTTACCCATGAATCTTCAACTAAAATTGTCTTTACAAAAGTTAACTTATGAAACTCTAATGCTACGTGTTTCAAATAAATTGAATTTAGAGCCCCTAAGTGGATTTAGGCTATCTTATCAGAGAAATGGTAAAGTTTATTTGTTAACCGACAATGAAGATGTTGAACGATTCATTGCTTACATTAGTGTTTCACAAGATGATGTTACATTGTATGTTGTTGAACCTAGAAGTAGTATTGTTGGGTCAGTAGCGGGTAGTAATCAACTAAGTTTTTCTCAAAACCCACAACCTTTCTCTAATCCAAATCCCAATCAACTTTCAGCACCAAATTCCGGTTTTCGTATTGACCAGTTAGACGATGATGAGCCAACAGAAAAAATTGTGAGTACTAGTCAGTATTCGAAATTTGGTCTTGGTCAATATCCGGACTTTGATATTGGTCAATACACGGATTTTGATGATGTTTCAGAAGAAGAAACAGACCCTGCGTGTAATGATTTTGATATTGGTCAATACCCGAATTTTGATGATGAAACAGCCGTTGCCGAAGAATGTATTGTTGATGATAATGATGAGGAAGTTACGACTGTGAATGAACATGTTGAACATCCATTCTGTAATTCATATAATCCTGAAGAAGAAAAAGAAGAAGAAAAAGTCCCCGAAGAAAAGAAAATGCCACGGGCGTATAACTGGAATATGCCAGAATTACTTCAGATACCGGAAGAAGAGTTGATAAAGAAAGCAGTTGATTGTTACACAAAAGTTATTCGTATCAAGAAAGATGATTATTTTGATACAAAGGAAGACTTGAAGATAGCTTTGTATACGAAATGTGTGGAAGATGGCTATCAACTAAAAGTTAACAAATCAAGCAAAGATCGTTTCGAAACAAGGTGTATGATTGACAAAAACTGTACGTGGCGTATGATTGCAAAGAGAATAAAAGATTGCAAAATGTTTCAAGTTAGGACTTTTATTGATAAACATACATGTTCAAGAACCCAAGTTTTTCCTCACCATAGACAGGCAAACAAAAAGGTGTTGGGTGGTTTTCTGGCTGAGTTAATGTTTTTGAATGGCAGGGTATATCGGGGACATGAAATTATGACTGACATGAATGCTCGGTTCAAGATTAGTATATCATATTCTCAAGCTTGGAGAGCCAAATGTTATGCCTTGGAATTGTTGAGGGGGTCGCCAGAAGCATCGTTTGCCCAACTGCCGGCTTATTGTCACAATTTAAAGCTGAAAAATCCTGGGTCGGTAACTCATATCAAAACAGATAGAGATGGACGCTTTGAGTTGCTGTTTATCGCCATTGGTGCTACGGTTAGTAAATCAATATAATTTTGTTGACTCATTTTTGTTAGTTACATGCATTTCACATTTAAATGATTATATTTCTTGTGTATATTATTTTGTAGATTCGTTCGTTTATTACTTGCATGCGCCCAGTTATTATAGTTGACGGAGCACATTTGAAAGGTCGATACCTTGGAGTAAACTTATTAGCAGTAGCCATGGATGCTAACAATGGGATATTGCCAATAGCTTACGGGGTTGGCAAATCTGAAACCTCTGATTCATGGACATGGTTTATGGGGCATCTTAGGGATTGCATAGGTCCTATTAGCAATCTGACAATCATATCCGATAGGGCAAACTCAATTGACAACGCTGTTAGAAGGTGTTTCCCAGATGCTTTTCATGGACTTTGTGGTGTTCATTTGTATAGAAATCTAAAATCAAGGTCTGCTGGTATAAAAAAGCACAAATGGACATACTGGAAGGCTGTAAAAGCTTATCGGGAAGTGGATTTCAATAAGCATATAAATTGTTTAAGACGTGTTTTGCCTCAGTGTGCTCAAACAGTAGAAGATGTCAGGTTTGAAAGATGGTCAAGAGTACATCAACTTGGAGCAAGATATGGTTTCATGACGTCTAATAGTGCAGAATCAATCAACGCTCTAAGTCGTCATTCCCGGAAATTACCCATTACTATGTTAATGGAGTTTTTTCGAGCATCTATTCAACAGTGGTACTACAAGAAAAGAAACCATGCAGGTATTATTTCTTTGAATTCGTAACTTATCATATTTATATATTTTACTAAGTATTGTTTATTTAAATTTACAGTAACATTGGAACATCGTGTTACACCATGGACTGAAAAAAAGATAACGAAACGTGTTGTGAAGTCAACGTCATGGAGAGTTGAACCATGTTCAAACACTTTGTTTCAAGTACTGGATAATAACTTAAATGGGCTAGTCGATCTAAATGCAAAGACGTGTAGTTGTATGAAATGGCAAACATCTGGTTATCCGTGTGGCCATGTTATAAAAGTTGCTCTTCATTTAAACCAAGATGATTCAAGCGCATACGCTATGGATTGCTACACTACAGAAGTTTATCGACAGACTTATGCCGAGATTGTCTACCCTATTCCACATCCTTCTGAGTGGGACATACCAGATGACTTACAAACAGTTTTGCCACCAGCCATGGACAGAAGGCTACCTGGCCGACCAAAAAGTCACGATCGTATACCGTCTAAGGGTGAAGAGAAGAAGAGATCGACATGTAGTCGGTGCAAGGAAAGTGGTCATACAAGGTTGACATGTGGATCACCAGTGCCATCAAAATCATCTTTTCCTCTACCAAAATATGGATCCTCATCAAAATCCAAAGCTCATATGGTGTCAAGCAAAAGGCAATCATCTTTAAAATCCCAATCACAATTGGCTTCACCTTTTGGGACTGTTAACTTAGGTGATTTTTAAATGCAAACGTTGTATTATGTGGATTTTATGTGTGAACTTTTAACATTTTCAGTTGAATTAATGACTCAGGCCAACCATTTTGACTTAACCAACTCTTGTTATTCAGTTGTTATCACTATTAGGCATGCATTTGACTATCGCAACACGGAAATTACAATCGCAACGAGAGAATCGCAATGCGAAATGAAAATCCCAACATGAAAATCGCAATGCGGAAATGAAAATTGCAACGAGAGAATCGCAATGCGAAATGAAAATCGCAATGCGAAATGAAAATCGCAACGAGAGAATCGCAATGCGAAATGAAAATCGCAACGAGAGAATCGCAATGCGAAATTAAAATCGCATTGCGATTCTCTCGTTGCGATTTTCATTTCCGCATTGCGATTTTCATTTCCGCATTGCGATTTTCATTTCGCATTGCGATTCTCTCGTTGCGATTTTCATTTCGCATTGCGATTTTCATTTCGCATTGCGATAGTCATTTTTGCCTTCAACATAATGCAGATTGAAATCAACAAAATCAACCATTACATTTCAATCAATTAAACAAGCACAAATAAGAATTATGTTCGCATCAATTACACAAATCAACTTTTACAAATCATCTTTTACAAATCAATTAAACAATCAAAAAATAAGCAATAATTCTTATTTCCGATCATCTACTATTGAATCAACTTTTACAAATCAATTAAACAATCAAAAAACAATCAATTAAACTATTGAATCAACCTTTGCAGCCATACATCATTTTCACGCAGTTCACTTCTGAGATTAACCTGCAGAAACCAAACATTTGCTCAAACAACACTTTCTACACATCTAAAACCTACAAACAGCAAATTATTGAATTCTAGGTACTTAACCAAACATTTTCAAACCAAAAGTATATAAACTTACCAATTGTTTATGGACATTTTTATAACGCGGATGCAGGTAGGCAGCGTCTCGTATATATCGATTTAGCCATATAATGCCGAAACCACAAGCCTACTGCAGCTCTATCTCTATCGGTGGGAGGTAGATACTTGATGCTTCCCGTCGTCAAACGCTCCAACGCCAAGCATACGAGAGGACCACAATCTCCTCTGGCTCCGCTCGTTTGTTGTGGCGCGGTCTCGTCTCTAATAACTGTAATATTGAGCTTCTTTGGCTTCTTGTTTCCAGAACGAGTCCA